GAAAAGTCTTTCATGAAAGCTCTAAGAATGGGAACTTCTTGTTGTAAAAACGTGGCTTTACTTAAAATGACTAGACTTGGGTTTGTGAAAATTGTTTTTTTGTCTCAAAAGGTGTTTTATTGAAAAACACAGGTGTAAATTGTTCAGTCAGACTGAATGAGATGGAATTTGTAGGGAAAATCTGACTTCATGATGTGAAAAAAGCTCATTTTAATCGAAAACATCCAACCAGATGGTATTAAATAAATCAAAATATAGAATAAGAAATGTTAAATTGCAAAATGATATTGAATATGAAGCTTGAAACATAGAAAATCCTTGAAACACGCAAAAACTTCAACAAATTCACTAAGTTTTAGTGTTTTTAAATGATAAATTATTCTCTAAAACCAAAAAAACTTTTGGTAAGGTTGAAGTTGAAGTTGAGAACGAGAAAGCTGAAAAAGAGTCGAGTTTCAAAATCGACAGCAGAAATACTATGAATCCGTCATGGCGCCCCATCTCCTCTAATCAATTTTGATGCACTAATCATGCTATAATGCTAAAACTGTGTCCTTTTCCTCTTTCCTACCGTAACCTTATCGTTTTTTGAGCTTAAAAGCTTGAATTTTTGATTTAAAAATCACAAAAATCTGGACAAGAACTAATTTAGGTTTTGTGAAAAGCTTATTAACTAAATTGCATGAATCAAGCGGGAGCACAAATTTTTTGAAATTTCAACTTTAAAACTTTGCAAAATTGGAAATTTCGAGAAAAACGAAATAAAACTCTTCAGAAACGATAAAACTCTGATTTGATAGCTCGATTGAAGTGAATTGAAGGGTCAAAAAAGTCACTGAAGATGCTACTTATGTTGAAATACGAGAAATTCAACTTTAGAAGCCTTTAAAACTTGGTTTTCCGTTTAAAACTCGCTAAAATCTGTTAAAATGCGATTTCTAGTTTAAGTAAAGATTAACAGGTATTGATTAATTGAAAAAGTTGTTGCATTAAATTGGCTCAATGGACTGATTTTTTTTAAACTATAAGAAGTTGTAACTTTGTAAAGAGATGTAAAGAAATGAAATTTTTCATTTCTAAATCAGCAAATCAATCAAATCATATTTTAAATGTTAGCCAAATTAGCGAAATTTATATTTTCAGGAAAGCTTTACAAACTTATTTTCAAACAAACAAAATTTGTTCTAAACAGAAATTTACCTAAAATATTCTGTTTAAAATTTGCGAAAAGATCAAATGAAAATGGATTAGAATGGGTAAAATTATTTCAAAAGACATAGAAATCATTCAAGATTCAGTCCATTAAAAACTATAAATTAAACTGACACCTTACCGTTTTATAACAATAATGTTGAAACATGGTTTCTCAAAAGTCGTTTAGTTTAGAAACGTTTAGTTTTAATTTAATTTAATTAATTAAATGGTTTATAATACAAAGTAGCGCAATCGATCTAAAAAATTCTGTCTCGGTTTTGAGTCAGAATACTTTTAAAAGAAGTTCTTTTGAATTTTACAGTTAAATTTGAAATATTTGCTCAGAACTAGCTTAGCAAAAGCAGAAAAAATGCTCAATAGGTCAATAAATAAGTTCTAAAGTATCTAGAGAAAAAGTTAGTCTTTGCCGGTAATTATTCAGGTAGATGGCTTTTAGATGAATAAAGTTGAAACACGGCTTCTCAAAAACTAGAAAAGCTCTTTTTAATTCAAAACTTTAACAAATTTCCAATAAAGAAGTTTTTTTAGTTTTTTTCCAAAAATTGGAAGCTAAAAGGCTTGAAACCTGGCTAAATCCCAATTCCATTCTTAAAAATTCCATTTTTAAGAATGATTTCAACGCTTGAAAACAAAAAAAAAGCTCTAAAAAACCAAAAAAAGGACTTTCATAATGGACGGGGATGTGATTTTGAGTGAATGAAATTTAATCTCAGAAAAAAAATGAGAATGATCAGTAAAAAAGGGACTCCATTATTGGGGGTATTTGGAAAAAGGAAAAGGGCAAACTTGGGCGTAATACAAGAAAAATTTTGAAGAAATCCTTCATTTTTGCTCTTAGAAATATGGAAATGAATGTGATATGGCGAAATTTTTCATTCAAACTTTGGAGAGAACTTAGTTTTTTAAGAGAATTTAGGCTTTGAATGGAAAATTTCCCAAAACTAATCATTGAATTTGAGAATTTTAAGTCTAAATTTTATCAATTTATTATGATTTTATGGTTTTATCTAATTAATAACAGATATTTTTTGAAGAGACTATGAAAAAGCAGCTTATGAGAAAAACCGAGTTTCAAAGCAAACAATATTCAGCTAATAGATTGGCTTCCAATCGTCGGGTCGACTTCTTGTTCTTCATTTCCCAAACCGTGCCCCTTTCTAGCGTAACCTTGTCTCCATTTTTATCGAATCTATCCACTATTTGTATCTTTCGATATCCTTTGTGAATCCGCACATAATTAGAGCCAAAAAGTGAATCGATTTGATAAAAATAGAGACAAAATTACGGTAGAAAGGGGAAAAGGGGACATGGGTTAGGAAATGGATTTGAGGAGATGAATGAAGGTACATTTATTCAGACGAACAATTTGGTACAAACAATACACAAGCACAACTCCTAAGCCCTAAATGTAGGGAAGAAAAAAACCATATATGGAAAAAAGAACGAATAATCTAGCCGGTAGGATTGAACCTCCAGACTAAGATAGAAGGCTCTTTGCTAGTCGGCCATGGCAGCCAATAAAACAAAGATTGAAATCCCTAATAAATCGGGGAAATAGTCTGCCACCTAGGGTAATATAAAAGTCCAGCTTTGAAAGCCGTTTCAACGCCTATAACTAAAGACTGAATACTAATGGAGAACACAAACGGATTGATAAAGTAGGTAGTCCTGTCACAATTTTTCAATTCTTTAATCCACAAGATTTAAAACAAGAAAATAATAGTATAGCCAATACATAAATTTTGATTAATTAACGACCTTAATTAGAAATTCGAAATTCGATTGGAAATTTGGAAATATTCTTATTACTTTGACAAGTTTCAATTTACGTGAAAAGATTGAAATCTAAAGACAAACAAACCCTTTAAACCAATTTTTCGACAATTTCCTTTAAAATCAATCCAAGTTTCAAGATGTATGTTTCAAAATTTTCAAAATCTAGGAAGATTCTTAAAAGTCAGTTGACCATGGAAAAATTGGCGCTTGATTCAGTTGTAAAATGTTTCAGTAGTCTAAAGGAAGTCGTTTAGCTTGAAACTTGATTTTTTAAAAGCCAACCTATTGTTTTTATCAATTTTCTTCCGGTTTTAGATGTTATTAAGCTAATCATTTATCAAATTTTATTTAAATACTTTTAAAAGTTCAAGATTTTCTTATCCGGGAGTTGAAAAAGCTAAAAAAATAGAAGAATTTCGTAAAACGGGTTCTTCTCTTGGAAAAAATATCTCTTATTATCAATTTATTTATTTCGGAATCTCGATGAGACTCAAAAAAGTTGAAATAGAAATTTTTGAACGATCAAATTTCTACATTTAAAGCCTTAAACAAAAAAAATCGGCAACAGTTTGTGAAATTTTAAGTTTAAACCGAAATTTCCCTGCAAAATGAGCTCTGATCACTCTAAATGTGAAACGGGAAATTGAGAAGAATCGTTATTTTGAAAAATCGCAAAAATCCGAACGGATATCACACTAATTTCCTTCGGATAAGGGCAAATTTAGAAAGATTTTGGGAATAAAAGTTGAAAATCTTGAAAAATGATGAAAAATTCGCTTTTTTTTGCCATTTTTCAATCATTTTATTCTAAGCATTGGTTAGTGCTAAAAAGATGTTGATATCTCACAAAAATCACCCATCCTCTCTACTTTAATTTGATACCTAAGCGCGCAGAAATAAATGTCTGGGCACCGAGATGTAAGCGGTTTTTTTTGAGTGTAAACTTAGACTACGCGACGCTCCTTTAGGGACTCTTCTATCAGAGTATTTACTATTCCTATATTTTATCTACGCTATTTTAAGCAGAAGTTAAGCAAAATGATATTAACGCAACTTGTTCTAAATGTTTCGCAAATATTTCTAACGATAAGAAACCGACGATGGCTTTATTTAGGTACTTGGATCGAATTCTCCACGAATACTGTAGCCTTTTCCCAGTTGTCAGTTTTTAAAAGTCTTCTCTCAACTAACTCAAGCTATCCAGATTCAGAGAAACTTAACTTCAAGTTCTTGGCAAGAAACTGGGAGGCCGGGAATGTATTTTTGGCTTTGAAACAACCACGAAATTGAGAAAGATCCCAGTGGCCTTTTGAAAAATAGAGCTACAGCCTCCAATAGAAACAACTCTGCGAAATAACTGAAAAATAGAAGCAAATTTGCTTCTATTAGAATAAATACGACACTCATCACATTAGACGATAAGAGTTAAAGTTGAAACACGCTTCTTAACACATAGACGACCGGGTGATGCTGAGTCACGGCTGTTTCTCGTGAATGGCTAGATCAAGTGAGCTCAAAATTTGCAAGAGCATGTCATTTTGGGTCCTCTTTCCGAATCCGACGTTAGTTTTACTGGGAAGTTGTGTGATTTTTCGTAAAAAAGCCAAAAAAAGAAATTTGTGCGTTCGTAGAAAAAAATGGCCCTTGATATGAGGTCGAGACTTGGGTAATTAAACCGGCTTCAAAAAATTTCGTTTTTCTAAGGTAGCCCATAATTTTTGAAGGCTCAAAACAATTCTAAAGGCAATTCTGCACCGGGAACATATAACATACATTTATCGAGAAGTTACTAGAAAAGATAAAATAATTCAAAACTGCGAAAATCAACTACCTGGGCTTTGTTGGCATAAATTTAAGGCCGGATTCGGATTCTAGAGTCTTTTAAGCCCTCGTGTGCAAAACTTCTGGGATTTGGTTTGGATTCATTTTGATCCTTGGCCCAAATCGACCGTTTCGCAAAAGAGGCGCGGTTGTCAATGTGTTAAAATTGATTTTCTTTTAATTTCCAGCTCACACAAAGTTGAACATCCCACCCGAAGAGAATCAAATGTTACGAGCGGTGGCGAACGAACTTGTGATATTGCAAAGAGTCATCGATGAGGTGGATTTTGATTTTTCAAAAATAAAAGCAACAAAGAATTATACTGAATGAAGAAATGAGTAATTTCTTTGATTTCTTTAGTGCGTTGAATTCTTGAGAGATTGCTTCGTTGATAAAACACAATTATCTTCTCAAATCCATTCCTCTAAACCGTGTCCCCTTTCCCCATTCTACCGTATCGTCTCTTTCGATATCCTTTGTGAACCAAAATTGGAGCCAAAAAATAGATAGATTTTATTAAAATAGAGACAAAATTACGGTAGAAAGAGAAAATCGAACAGTTAAGCCTGAAAAAAGAACTTATGGTCAATCGGCAAGGTTGTTCACGTATTTCCCTCTTTCTTCCTTGTCTTTCCTATCTCTTCTTGGACAAAGAAGAAGCCAATAGCCTGGTGGTAGAGCAGCGGTAAGCAGAGGGCCGAAGGTTCTGGTTCCAAATTCTTCGCCATTCATTTCTTTACTTTAGTTTCAATAACTGTCTTTCAATCATGAAAAATCAGTTTTTCAAGCTTAGCTTGCACAAACACTTGAAACGGTATAAAATTTCTTAGCTCGAAATTCACAAGCACATCTAATAGCTTGTACATGTCCTAATGATAAAGGTTCTTCTGAGAATCTGATTTTTTTGGAATTGTTTATGAACGCTTTTCAATCTTGAAAAATCAGTTTTTCAAGCTTAGCTTACTGCACAAACTTCTTAATCTTTATCTTTCAAATAAATTTCAAATATAAACTAGTAGATAAACTTTTCAAAGCATCCCATTTTCCTAGGTGGCCTACACTCTCCGCAACTCACCATCGCGAAAGCTCAGCTCACCGCCGGTTATGGTTGGAGCCTTGATTGGTTTTTTAAAAAGAAAAAACTTGAAACTTGACTTTTTAAAACGCAAAGCAAACTAATTTGTTTAAAAAAAGTTGAAAAAACATTTAAACATTAATGTTTAATTGTTAAAAATGTAATTTGAATATAGTTTTGAATAATTTTTGAGCAAAAATTGCTTACCAAAGAACAAATCTACCTTTCAGCAAGCCGGCAAAGAGATGAAAGTCGAGAAAAACACAAATACACTCAGTAAAAAGGTCAGTTTTTTGGGTGTAATTTTTATTAAAATCTGATTAAATAAGTTAAGGATATTATCTTTCTAATCTTTAAAAGCTTTATATTAACTAAATCTTTATTAAAATTTCCAAATTGCTCTAGTTTTCAGGATCAAAAACCGACGGGCGGTCTTCTTTCATTCAAGCCAAACGGGACTCCGCCAGTGATCACTCCATTGTCCGAGAATAAAGATATTGAGGTGATTGAGCAGACATATTCACTTTACTTGTCAAAAAGGAATTTGGAAGTGATTTATGGAGAAAATGAAATGTTTTATGCTCACTTGAAGGAAATCGAACTAATGTTTCGATGATGCAAATTGAAGCGTATAACTTGCAAATTATTGCTTTAAAGTGCGCAATTAACTTTCCTACTAAGTGCTTCATTGTCATGGACTATTAGGTTGGTGAATTGAAAATGACGAGGAAGCCCTTGCTGTTAATGATAATCCTGAATCTTTTCTAAGGTTAAATTTATTTCAGAGCAAATTATTCCTCATTTATTGGGTTGGTGAATTGAAAACTGCGGGACTTTGAACTAAAATTTATTCAACATAAAACCATCAATTCATTCCAAATAATTTCCATTATTATTGACGACTTCTGCCCATTTTACAGGCAATTTGCGGATTCCTCTTTCGTGGTAGGATTTTGGTTTGTGTGTGAGACAAGTGTGAGACTTAAAAATGGAGGACTGGAGATGTCCCAGTTTGAGCACTTTCTTCAAAAGAAACCCATTTTGGTGTCAATAGAAAAGTTGTAGAGAATCAAAAATTAGGCTTATAGCCAAATTTCCAGAAAGATACACTTAGTAGTTTCGCTTAAAATCCAAGTTTTGTGAAAATTCGTAAATTTGGCATTTCTTGAAAACCAGTTTTTGAGTCGTTCTGAAAATTTGGATATAAGCTTCATTTTTGATTTTCTACAACTTTTCTATTGACACCAAAATGGGTTTCTTTTGAAGAAAGTGCTCAAACTGTGACATATGACAATAGCCCGCAGTTTTCAATTCACCAACCCAATACAATAGCTTCATAATGTGCCCTTTTTACAAAAAATCTTATCAATGGTTGATCTTTCATAGTCAAAACAACAGCCATCAGTAGATTTCATTAACTAAACACCTTTATGATTGGTATCGATTACTTTGAAACTAAACTTTCCCGTTTATTCCCTGGATACTCTTAAATTATTTAACTATCATCTTGTACAGTTTAAGTTTGATTTATCTTATTTATCTTGCTCGTTTCTAAACCATGGTGTAAATTCCACTCACCCGTCAATCCACGCTTATTTTATAGTGCACAAATGTTATCCATTGATGTAACCAAGAACAAGGTAAAGACCATAAATTGCTGATGGATTTACTGATACTTTCACATAACTTTGAAGCTCGAACTTTTACTGATTGCTGACTATGAATAAATTACTAATGTTTTTGCAGAAACCGCCCACGGTGGATGTTGCCTCATCGACTCCGATCGCTCCAGTGGGTGTTTTATCTCAATCGCCCCTTGGCGGATACTCGATCAAGACTGGTCCTTTACTTGATTACACCAGCCCGGACATTGATGCGAATTTAGTGACCACTGTCACGCGCACGTATGATGAGGTGATTGAGTAACTTGCTTATAAGTTTTATGGGTTGGGGCTAGGAATACAAAACATGGTCGACGCCGGGATTTAAACCCGCGAACGCTCTACCAATGAGCTACAAAGACACGTATCCCATTGGCGCTAGGGATAGGGCCTTATGCCTTGCTTATAGTTAACTCTTGAAAACTCACAAAACAAGGAAGTTAGCTAACTAAAGAAAAAACAGAAAAATTTAGCTTACTATTAGTTTTTTGGAATCGAAATATTGGATAATGAAATCAAAGAAACTTCTAAATTTCTAAAGCTTCTAGCAGTCAAGTCTTTGTCAAGTGATACGCGTTTGATATCATTAGGAAAGTTAACTAATTCTCTACAAAAAGTCATTTAAAAGAGAACTCAAACAGCGCCTCAAAAGGCCATTTTTACACAAAATCTATAAACTATCATCTAGAGAAAATGGTTGGAGGAATCTTGTTTGAAATTTGGCAACTTAGGTAATTCAGTGTGCTCTATCTTTTTTATGTAGACACCAAAGGAGATTTATGTAAAAGAAACTGTTCAAACAATGAGTCGCACTCTGTCATGTTGACTAGATGCGTTTGAGAGTCCATAAGCTCCAAGAAAGAAGAGCTTTTTGGAATTTCTCAAAAGTCATTTTGTAGAGAAATAGTGGACCTTTTTGATGAAACAAAAAGTTTTGATTTAAAGAAAGGCTTTATACGTGCAAAAAGCCTCCTTAAAGTTCGACGCCATTTCATTCTCCCCAACCAAATCGCCCAATAAAATTTGGTTCTTTAACGAGATTTGTCTAATATAGAAACTCGGTTATTTTCGTTTTATCTAGGTAAACAAAATGCAAAACTATTAATGCTAAATAATTTGACTTTGTGAATTGAAAAAGTTTTCCTTGAGCGCATAAAATTATTTTTATATCAATTAGATCTATGCTCAAGTACTTTGGGAGACTTTTTCTACTACATTTTTCTATTAAAACGAAATTTCAAAATTTTCAGCACTCGTTGAAAGAGCGAATCTCGCGTAACTGCGATCGAATTGAGAATCTCATCTGTTTCATCGATCAAAAATGTCAGCGGAGATGGTGGTTGAAGGACATGATCAATTTCTTTCAGGTGAATTGCGGAAATTGGATTTTATTTGATTGTTAGGCTTCAACATAGAGTTGACCAATGCTTTTGGATTCGCTAGTGACACCCGAAGATATTGTAATAAAGTAAAGTAAAGAATGGCGAAGGGAGATTTCCGGAGAGGGGATTGAACCCTTGACCTTTTTGCTTCCCGGGCAGATGCTTTAACCACTGAGCTATCCGATATCTTCTCGCCAGAGAAGAAAGAGGAAATATAAACCACTACAAAGCATTACATTATACTGAGTCCGAGATAAAACGGTGAGATGTACTCAGCTGAAAAGATTTAAACTTAGCTGCAAATTTAAAGATCAAGAAAATAAGGATTTTAGGTGTAAAAATGAAAGCTTACAATATAATTAAGTTTAATATTTGGGACAAAATGTTATAAAACAGCCTGAGACTAGATTTTTAGGTTTCCCATTGAGTCGATAATTTTGAAACAAGGTTTTTATAGCTGGGTGATGCGGTCAGAAAAGCCATGTTTCAAGTTTTGTTGGTTCATGAGCCGACCTTCTGAATCAATTCAATTATCACCTCGCGAATTTTTCTCCACCTTTGATAGAGCTATAACTCCGAGCCTTTCCATCGTAAACTAGAAGTGTTATAGTGATTTTGAAAGCTTAAAACAAGATCTATAAGATACATCTATTTGCTTTTTAAAATCAAATTTACTTTGACAAATTTCGGAGTGAACAGAAACAATTGAAACAATGAGACCGACCACTTGCTCCAGTTGTCGCGTAGAAAGGCCAAACGGTGCAAAATAGAAAAGAGTTTTTGGGAATCTCTTCCCAACATCAAATATCACTTTATCTACCCAAAACAATGCACGTTTTCATCAAATTGAATCCCAGTGAACATCAAGTTCGAATTCAATTGTTTCAACTTTTTTAAGATCACAAATGGCAGGTTCAACTCAATCGAAACCCAAGCTTGATTAAATTAGATTTTTAACCATAAAAATCGATTCATTTCCAGCTTTTCATCAAATTGGCGCTTTTCGTATCGGCTTCTGTTTCCGTTGTCTATCATCAAGATATCACTCCGTCAATTGTTACATTGATTATCGCCGTTTTACAGGTAGATTCAGATGTTAAAATCGTGTGACAAAAGTTTTTGGTACCAAATAACCATATAGAAAAAGGAAAAGTAAGTTTCTCAGCAAGTTTTTGCTTTTCAAAAAAAGCAAGTTTCTCTTTTGTCTGTGTCAAAAAGTGTTTTTGCTATTTTAGTGGGTTCAGGTTGCGCAGTTCATTTGCTCATCAATTTCTTTTACAAATTCAACGCTGATATCAATAACTTATTTACAACCAAGTATGCCAAAAAAAAATATAATTTATAGTCTTAAAAACGCACACGAAAGTGCAATATATATGCTAAAAATCGGTGGAAAAAAGGCTAGTTTCTCTTTTATTCTTTTAAAAGGCTAGTTTCTTTTTCTCAAAAAGTGTTTGTGGATTTTAATTGTAACTGGAAGCTGCGATAATTTTAGTGTTTTACAATAGTATTACAAAATCAATTGCTTAATCTATTTGTTCTTGATCGTTTATCGGTAAAAGATAAACTCGATAAATATCATTACCTTATCGATCGATAAGGTAATGATATTTATCGTGTTCTTTGAACATATAAGGTAATGCTATGTTCAAAGAACACTTTTCATCTTTATCGGCATCAAAATGGATTTAGTTGAGTCTAGTATTTGTAGATTCTTCCTTTCTAAAACATAATTTTCTAGGGAGTCATCGAGCTGCTCGATCAATATTTCATCAAGAACAAAAAGCCGGAGGATGTGAAGCTTTCGGTGTTTACTGGAACCGCTAAAAGTACCACAACATCATTTTCTTACTAAGATTTGAAACTTGAATTTGAAATTCTTGTTTTTTCCCCTTTTCTTGACTAATCCATATTCTAAAATGCACTTATTTTAGACAAACTATCGTAGTTTTTATTTGATCGCTCAATTTTTGCATCATTGACTGAGTCTTGTGGTTCCTCATCGAATTTGACCAAAATTCGGTTGAAAACTGACAGTTAGATTACGGTAGTTTCCTAAAGTATATCCATTTTAGAAAGGATTGGCTTATCTTTTTGCTTTTCGGTAAACTTTTGTAAATGTATATTTTTCTTAGCTTGCCCTGCCTTTCTATTCACAAGCTTATCACAAATAAAGCCTTACTTAGCTCTTGGAATTTTCATTTTCCAAAATTTTAGTGCTTTTCATTGTATCCTTTATCGAATTGCCTTCAAATATCCCTTTCCATTGTTTTTTTTAATAACACATTAAACATTTCTCAATTGACTCAAAGATTTTGTAAATAAACACTTTCAAACTATCAACTCGATATTAATTAACTGTCTCTGAATGTACTTTATGCTGTGCAAACTTGAAACATACACTTTCTGACGCACTTGTATCCGATTTTTCTGCAAAAATGATTTGAGATCTTCTCAAGTACTGTGTAGAATACTTTGTTCAGAGAACTAAGAGCTAAAAGTTTAAGAGCTAAAACATTTAAATTATACAAAATGAGACAAACACATTTGTACACATAAATCTAAAAAAGGATTCAGAGGATAAAAAGCCTTCTTTAGGAAAATATGGTGATCCAAACGTCCATTTCACATTCAATGCTCAATTTTGGCTTTATTCCCTGAGCAATTCGAAGCATTAGGGTTAGCCAAATTTACTTCACTCGACTAACATTGAAAATGAATTGTTCAATGAAGTGAAGTTGAAGGAAAGTTGCATAAAAGCCTAAAAAACCAATCACATTGATTGTTTATCTGAATCAATTTCACACCGTTTTACTTTTGAAACACAGGTTTTTTAACCAAAAAAGACATCCTTTCTAATACAAGTACCTAGCTTCATTTACTTACAACTAAAAAATGTTCACTTGATTGCAGCAGAAAAGGTGTTTTTAAGTACTTAATGTTTGCAAAATTGCTTATTTCATCAATCTTAAATTTCTCTGCGAAAAACGATTTAGTTTAGGTCAAATCCTCTACGATTAGGGGTAACCATACTTTGAAATTGACTAACTCAAAATCTAACTAAAAATCAGTGTATTTTGTCTCCACAAAAAACCCACACCTTCTAGCGCACTTGAATTTTCTTGTAAAACACTGAATGTGCTTCCATATTTAAGCAATATCCCCGATCTGAGATAATAGAGTCCACTGAACACCTCTGAACACCAAGTGTTTACGCTTTGTGAGCGAATAAAGGCACAGTTGAAACGATTTATTTACTCGTTTGTCTAGAGAAAACTTTTCAATAATTTACAAATTTACATTTATTGATAGATTTTTATTGATGACTGGGAAAAAGAAGAAAGAAATCGAGCAGGAAGAGGAGGAAGATGTGGAGGTGAGGAAAGAAGTTATTGAATTTTAAAAAGAAAGCTCTTTGGCTAGTTTAGGGAACTTTTAAATAGGTAGTCGACCTCTAAATTTGCTTATAACTTTTTATAGAGCCAAAATCTTTGTTTATTTTTATAGATTTTACAAAAAAGACATTTCAGGCTTTCAAATGAGACCTAATAGAGATGAATTGGATAGATTAGTCTCAAGAAAATCAAGGCAGAAGTGAGCAAATCAACAACGAGTTGTAATCAATTGATTTTCTCGGGATTCATCTTTTCAAATTAGCTCTATTTGGTTTTGTTTGAAAGCCTGAAATGTCTACTTCTAAAATATATAAAAAGTACACAAAAAAATCATGTCTCTTTAAAAAGCTATAGGCATTTAGAGCTCAACTATCTATTCCAAAGTTCCCTAAACTACTCAAGAGTCGAAAAAATCTTTGAGCTTTAGTTGTCTTAGTAAATAACCAATCTTATTTAAATAAATTCTTGTTCTTTAACAAGTAGATAAGTTTCTGTAAGTTTTTCGGTTTTAATTTTGAAGTCTTGCTTCAACTTAAGTGCAGATTTATAGGAAGGCTTTAATGCTAAAAAAAATAGCTAAAAAAAGGCCGTTTTTGTATTTCAAAAACGCTTTCATCACTCATTCACCTTTTAGTGCACTTGGGAATGTACGGTGTGCACCTATCGAAACAAGGGAGAAGCATTTAAATGTGATATGTGTGATACGAGGTGAGTCTAAAGGCTCATCATTACTAAAGCTTTGATTTTTCAAAAGTTAGCAATTTAATAGAAAGAAATCTAATAGAAAATAATTTATTTTAAAAACACGATTGGGCTTTGTAAAAGCCCCAACATTGACTTTAAATTGAAACACGATTTCTTGGAGTGATTCAAAATAGCTTCAAAACTGTAGTTGGATTGCTTTTTTACTAGATAAAACATTAAATGAGATTCAATTTAATTCAATGAAATTAACTAACTTAAAGTATTAAATAATTCAAGTTTCAAAAGTTTATTTCCCATCAATAGGCAAAAAATTGGGCTTGAAAAAGTCATCAGATGCCCTTCAAATTGAAACACGAATTTTTACGCTACTTCAGAATTGTTCACAAAACTAACACATGTATTGGATTGATACTTTTACAACAGTTTTTAAAAAATAACATTGAGAAATATTCAGAAAAGGCACCTCGACAAGGAAACCCCGTTTGAACGAGAATGTAGTGGCCATGCAACAAGTTGTGCAAAATTTCGCCATCCACCAGAGTTTCATCCATCCGAAAACGCCAAAGTAAAGAAAAACAATATCAAATTGTTCAAATATTTTAAACTATAAAAATTCTAAGCTCTGCAATTATCAAGTATAGCTTTTCTGCTTTAAAAACGATTTTCAGACGTGCGAAGAATTCACATGCTGATTCACCGACTCCTTCCTCTTCGCGGCTATCACCGGAGAGCATTTCTTCAGGTGAGAACAAGTAAAATTTAATCAAGAGTCTAATTATAATGTAAATAGTAAATTTTTCTTTTAAATTTCAAATAGGATTAATCATTTGTCGAGTAAAAGTTTTCTTAAACAAAAAAAAATGTTTGGTTTCAATTTTGGTGACCAAAAGTCGTAAGTTTAGTTTAGTTTTAAACTATAGTGGTGTACTTTCATTTACTACTATTATTTTTTGCATTATTTACTATACTTGCATTTATTTTTTTTAAACGACAAGATTTAGAAATTCTATAAGTCAGAAAAGTCACTAGTCATTGATAGGACGACAATATCAATTTCAAAGTTGTTGACTATCGGCATGTCCGGACGATCGAAGTTTTGAGTAACTAATGTAAAATTGTATTTGACAGAACGTATTGTTATATAATATTTAATTTCAAAGAGATTCAGGTCCAAACTCTCGTCCAACTTCATCGCAAAAGGGGAGCACGAGGAGGAGCGACGAAAAAACGAGAAGACGATCCGTTCCGTTGCCCGATAATTTGATATTCAGGAGTAGTCCGCAAAAGGTTTGCAAAGCTTTGAAGCTAAAAGCTTAAAGAAGGGCTTCAGGTCTAAGTTTAAGAGTTGAACTCTAGAATCCATTTCAACATTTCAGAAGGAGGTCAACGTGAACGGAGTGAAAGCGACGATTGCCGAGTTTCGGCCAAGACCAGCAGCAAAAGAACGAATACACGCGATATTGAACGATTTGCGAAAAGATGATTCCCAGAGATTGAAAGAGACAAAAATTAGCCCGGTGAAGATGGAAATTAAACAGGAAACGAATTCACAAACTGAAGAGACACAAAGTTTGACATCAAATGGACAAGAATGTAAGGAGAATCTGAAAATTGAGACACCGATTGAAGCGGAGACTCCTTCGGTTCCAGCTTCATAAGATATTGCTTTAAATTTTTTGTTTATTACCGTAGTTATACTCGACTTGCTTATTAGTCAAAATTGGTGCCGAATAGAAAATGGAGTAGGGTAGAAGATTTGAAAATTCCATTTGGCATTTGAATCAAGTTCCATTTGGCACTACCTTGACCGAATCTTCTTCAAATGGGAACTTTAAATCATGCCCAACTACTGTAACCTGGTCTAGATCTTTTTCCATCTTCAAGTTATTAATGTTACAGTAATCCTTACAACGGTTGCTTAGGGTACTGTTACAACTGGAACACGGTGAAAATACTGTATCGCTTCAATTTTGGTGAAATGAAATCTTCAAAGTTTTTTGCATATAACGATCTGGAACCTTGGTTCTATCGCTCTTTTGGGCCAAAGTAAAACAGAGTTTTATCACTTACCATAATCCAAGGCACTTACCGTAATCCCTGTAATTGGAAACCCTTTCCGTTTTAGATATCAAGTTCTCTACATTCAATCTGATTTCTAAATATTTTACCTATCTACCGTAACCCCTAAAAATAGCCTTGCTTGTAGGCATTACGGTAATCGAGGGGTATTATTGTAGGTAATACAGTTGTTGCATTTTCTGAGTTTACTTTTATTTTGCTCGATCCAACTTCTGCCTCAAAACTCTCCGACTCACCAAATTCGCTTATCCACTCGATTTGTTTGCTTTAAAATACCCGCCTTGATCGATTTCTGTATATATTTATATGCCATTTTTAAAAATAAAACTATTTTTTGAGCCATTATCAAGAATTGCACAACATTTTCAAGCACAAAAAGTCGAAACAAAACTGAACACAGCACTTGAATGCTCTTTTTCTAGTCCTTGTAGTTGTTGTAGTGGTTAGAGTTGAGGCAAAAATTGTCATCTCTCGTGTTTTCAATGAGTCTTCACATTTCGAAACGCTGAATCGCGTGTAACTACGGACTTGTTAAGACATAGATTTTCCTCTTTAAATACACCTCCTTTTGCTCTAAAAGATATACAGTTGTTGAACCCAATATCTTTTCTTTTTTGGGGACGCGGCGAATGTTAATAGGTGTGGCGTGTACTTTAGGCATATTTTAGGGCACAAAAATTCATTTTTCGTTATTTTTCGGGATTTTCTCTAGCTTGTTCGTGCTTTGAGAGTTTGTTAATCTATTTTTGCAATTTGCTTGAAATCTAGTAAAGTTTTATTTGTAGAGCTATTGAAATCCATAGCCTTTTGCTCAGAAAGCGGTTGCGGCTTTGAATTTTTGGTCAAATCGCTAAAATTTCGCTCGTTGACTACAAGAACTTTATCAATCCTTTTCAAATCATTCAAAACACTGTTAAACTTGGATTTTGTTATGTTTATGGACTTTTAAGCTAGACTAATACTAAATCTTATATTGAAGTCCTGCCATTGATTGTCTCGACTTTTCTTTTTGATTTTCTTAATCAATTAATTGGTTTTTTTCAGGTAATCAACTCTGTGCAAGATGGGTCGACGCCCAGCACGTTGCTACCGCTACATCAAGAACAAGCCGTACCCGAAGTCGCGTTTCTGTCGAGGAGTGCCCGATCCAAAAATCCGCATCTTCGACCTCGGAAAGAAGAGGGCGGATGTCGACGAATTCTCCGCTTGTGTGCACATGATTTCCAACGAGCGCGAGCATCTTTCATCGGAAGCCCTCGAGGCCGCTCGCATTTGCGCCAACAAGGTAGATTTTGTTAATTTAACTTTGACAAGAAGTAGCTGATAGCGTTTCATTAACTTCATTTACATTTGGTGAACTAGAAAAACTAGGATACTGGTAGTGAGTTGGAAGATGATTTGATTAATGGTGAAAGGTACGATAAAATTGGCAAGCTTGTTGCGGCATTAACAATACATGCGAGACAAGTAAATAACGCTCACTGATAGTCTTTCAAGTGTCAATCTATTAATTTAAACAATCATTGGCGATACAAGAAGATTCTGCCATGCTTTAGTGGGTTTTATTTCCTACAAACATCTTCATAATCTTTTATTTTTTAGTACATGGTGAAGAACTGCGGAAAGGACGGCTTCCATCTCCGCGTCCGAAAACATCCCTTCCACGTCACCCGCATCAACAAGATGTTGTCATGCGCCGGCGCCGATCGGCTACAAACGGGAATGAGAGGAGCCTATGGAAAGCCCCAGGGATTGGTGGCCCGAGTCGACATCGGAGATTTCCTCTTCTCCGTTAGAATCAAGGAAAATGTAAGTCGCTTATTTTATGAACAAGGGCAATAAAGTGATGGCTGCATTCGCTAACTGAATTTGATGCGTTTTATTGGGATCAATGAAATTTTTTATTTAGAACGTGAACCACGCCATTGAAGCATTCCGTCGTGCCAAGTTCAAATTCCCCGGCCGTCAATTCATCGTCGTCTCGCGCAAATGGGGATTCACCAAATGGAACAAAGATGAATACGAGAAGATGCGAGCTGAGGGACGCCTTCAATCCGACGGTGTTGGAGCTAGATTGGTTGGTCAAAGCTGTTTAAACTCGGTACGAATGATTTTGTTACAGGTGCGCGAGCACGGGCCTCTTTCGAAGTGGATCAATAATCCTATTTAAATTGTTTCGTTTTTTCTGTTTTGAATAAATTTGTTACTAATATTTCCAAAAGACATTTCAGTGTTGCCGTTTAGCTTGGGCTTAGTACTTTGTGTTTTGAATGTAAAAGGAAAACTGCTGAGGGGTAAAACAAGTGATGTCACACATCGGAGTTCCATCTTCAACGATAAAACAAGAACAACATCGTCGTTAAAAATTATTAAATCACGAAACAAAACAATGTAGAATCGATGCTGGTTTTGAACGTTACTTTGTCAGAGTGGTGTTTTCGGCTGAAATTGTTTCTTTTTCAGATCCTAATGGATCACATACATGGCAGCGAATGGGGCGTCTTCATCGTAATGATGATTCATTTGCTTCTCGCTCCCGGGACAAAGGTACTTACATTGATTGTTTGTAGTTAATCGAATAGGTTAGGTAGAAGAGTCGTTCAACGTACAGGCCACCCACGATCTGATCTACGAGAATTACAACATATCAAACGTAATTTACTTGCTTTATTACTTTTACGTAAACATTTTAGTATGACCATAATGACTTTCCTGGTGTCGTTCCGCGGACTTTTGTCGGACCCTTTGCTTTGGCCAGCTTTGGATTCCCGTTACGAATCGTGTTTTGGCTCTTCGGTATTCAGAAAATATGGATGCTCTTTGCAGGTATATTTCAAATTGTTTTGCATCAAAAATTATACATTTTAGTGCGCTTTTTCTTGGGTGCCGCGGTTGTGATCTCGTTTTGCAACTTTTGTCGTTGTATCCGCAAGCATTTCGGCGAGGAAACAGCAATATTTTTGAGGTAGCTTGTTAAACTTTTAAAGATAAGTATTCTTTTAGGGTTATCACCGCCTCCCAATTTCATCTGCTTTTCTACGCATCACGCCCGTTACCAAATGTATTTGCCCTGTTTGGAGGTAAATCCTATAATGATTGAATTCTATTTTTCTGTTTTAGTTCTTTTTGTCCTACAAAAGTGGTTTGACGGTCAGCACCAATCGGCCGTTCGTTGGGCGACAGCGGTAACATTTTTATTCAGGTACTTTTTGGAACTAAAGTAAATTTCGATACAAGTCTAAAACTTTAGATGCGAACTGGTGTTGCTTTTCGCTCCAGTATTTCTACCTTCCATTCTTGCACGACGGCTGCCACTCTTTGGGCGAAATGGAGCGATCTTTGCGGGAGTCACAACTGCATTAAAAGTTTTGGGTTCGCCATTTGCTGATTCACAGTGAAATTGCTTTTAGCAATTTCGGTGCCGCTCGATTCACTGCTTTGGGGACGTTGGATTTGGCCGGAAGGAGAGGTCGGATGGTTCAACATCGTTTTAAATCGAAGCCACGAATATGGGGTATGGTTTATGAAGAGCTATTGATATTGATGCAATTCAAAAATTGTTCACTCAAGCTTGAGCTAAGGGATTTAAAAAATAGAAAATGGTGTTAAATACGTAACGTTAATTGTTGAAACTTTATCATGATACAACTTTTAGGTGTCTCCTTTCTTATGGTACTTCTACTCGGCGATTCCCCGTGTAATGCTTGCCTCGCTTGTGCTCGTTCCGCTTGGATTGCTGATTGATAGAAGGTAATTAATATTTTTTTTTGTTCTAAATAAGTTAGGCTGCCACCTCTTGTCATTCCGCCGTTGATCTTCGTCCTTCTCTACTCGATTTTGCCACATAAAGAACTCCGGTTTATTCTCTACGTCTTCCCGTTGCTCAATCTTCCAGCAGCTGTATTTTGCGCTAGAATGTAAGTTTACTGCCTTACCAATTTTAAAGTCTAAAGCATTCCAAAATAATGATTTTAGGTGGATAAGTCGTCACAAGAACTTCATTCGCTGGCTACTCGCCTATGGTTTTGCAGCTCATTTGATTGTCAATGCGGTCGTCACGTGCCTCTTTTTGTACGCGTCCGCGAGAAATTACCCTGGAAATGATGCGATTGTCTACTTACAAGTTGGTGTTGATGCATCCAAGTTCCAATGAAACCTGTTTTTTTCTTTTTAGCTTAAAATTAGTAAGATAATAAGTAAAATAGAAAGTAGAAGATCACTAATCTGTTTTGCATTTTTTAGCACATGATGAGAATGGACGGGACTAAACATAAAACCCTCCATTTGGACGTGATGACGTGTCAGACGGGCGTTTCTCGATTCCATCATTTGTATACGACTTGGGAGTGAGTGACTTTAAACTAAAACTGGTTAAGCTTGATAGGCTTTAAAATTCAGAACTCTAGTGATACTTTTAATCATAACTTTTTTAGATACAACAAAACGGAAGAGTTGGATCAGAATGAACTCGAGAGATTCGACTTCTTATCAGTTGGCGCAAATGATGGAAAATTGCGGGTTTGCTGAAGCTTTGATTCAGCATTATGATTATTTTTAGGAATTGATCAGTGCGAACTATTCATCGACTCATCGTGTTTTGTTTGTTGTCCCGTCGTTCGATGGAATCAAGTGGAGGTAGGTTTTGTTGGGTTCAGGTTATGATTTTGGTAAAGTGTACTAATACAGGTTAAATGTCATTTTAAAAACTTTAATCAAAGTAGCCATACAATCTATAAGTTATCGATGATGTTAATGTCCAAATTTCAGGAAATTCCGTCCAATCAAATGGTCACCGTTCCCATTCTACTACCCGGAGTTGAAATTCACGGAGAAAGTGGGTGTGTTGACGAAAAAAGTATGATCAAATTTCATCGAACTTAACTGTTTTTGCTAGTTTATTTACTTTATTTATTATGTTGTGATATTTGCTTTAATTGATTCTCGATTACGTGTAAATAAAAAGGTGACTAATAAGAAGCGACCAAGCACTGAAACTTGTGAATTTGAAACTCAATAATAATAAATATTATACATCAAAAAAATCCTATTTTTTTGGCAAATATATATTATATTACACCAGCAAAAATGCTCAAAAATTGCTAGTTTAACGCGAATTTCCAAGGGGCTACCTAAGGACGGTCTCCTGAACCGCATCTTCTATCGGTTTATGATAAAACCTCTGGAATGAGGAGCTATTTGGAGCTCAGCTGGCTGATTTCATAATGGCGTTTGACGAGACTCCCGTCGCGGCTGCTTGACTAGCTGTGGCCGAGCGTGTCGAGTCAGCCCCGAAGTCCTTATCTATACCCAATTGTCTAAGGATTCTTTTATCCACCGTGCGACCATGGACGGTGTGACCAGGTCATGAGGCTTTCGGAGATCACCAGCATTAACTTGTCTCCTCGGACCGATTCGGTCTTCTTGAGAGATACTTTCACCGCTTAAAACAAGTGAAATTTGAGAGCAGATCAGTTATTGATGCGCTTCAATGGAATCGACCATCACAATATCTCAATCCAATTGATTTTTTAGTGTGGTCGGTTCTAGAAGCCAAAGCTTGTTCAAAGTCCCACAAAAACATCGAAAACTTGAAGAAATCACTGTTGAAAGCGTGCGAAGAGTTCGATCCAACCTATTTGGTCGCCACCGTTGACGCCTTCTCGAAACACCTGCAAGCCTACTCAAATGCTAATGGTGGCTATTTGAATTTGATAGTTGATTTATAATTGTTAATGTACAATAAATGTGATTCATTTAAAAATTTCTCTTTTCTGCTTTTGTCTGCCTTAAAAACAGAAATTTATGCTGTTGCGAGAATTATGGCGCACCCTGTAATGTAGTCTGACGATGATGCGCTTGAAATAATTTGCGCTGTTGTTTGTTATCGATGCTTGTGCGGTACAAACCATTGTTTCATTGGGCCGTTCGATAAGAATACTTCGGTAGGCGTGAAAATGAGTCCCAAACTTTTCAGTTCGTATAGAGAAATCAAAAGATCTGTGCTCGATAAAAAAGGTTTGTACAAAGCATACAAAATCTGCAAATCTCTTTGGGATTATGAATTTTCATTCTGCAAAACGATTCATCAAAGTTTCAACGAGCCATTCTTTAAAAAAAACGTTTTAAACAAAAAAAGGTTTTCGGACGCAAGAAAACGATAAGAAAACTTTTAAGCTGAGAAAATATTGCTTTAAACCTTTTTTGGGGAGAGACTAAGCTGTGTGATGCCTTTTGTCACAAACTTTTGAACGTTTTTGACACAAAGCATTTTTCGAAAGATTCTTTATTTTATTAGTTTCTTTTAAAATATTATTTGACGGTCTTAGATGATGTGTGGTCGAGCTTTGAGAGCAATTTGGAAGTTTCTCATTGGACCATTTTGGAGACCTTTCATGGGAACACTGCAAGTTGCCCTGGCCGCTTTTTTGATCATCAATCGCTCGTTTCTGTGCTCATTCGAGCCGAGATTTCCCGCTCCAAACCCATGCAACTTCACGAATTTGAAAGCGAATTTGGAAATAACACATGAGGTAGAATCAAAATATGTACAAAAATTTTTACATTCATAGATTGTTCTTTTTGGATGCTATTCAATGACCGGTTTCTTAACGTTTGCCTTTTTGCTGTACGGTTGTTGCTTTGGTTTTTGGAATGAACGGAAAACGATCGGTTCGCCATCCGAACATTTGACGTCTTTCGGTGACTACAATCTAAAAAAACAAAACACACAAAAAGCATTTACAGGGTGTGTGATAATTATTGACCGCCTTGGAAAAACGTGTTACTTGTTGAATAACCTGCTTTTGGCAACAAATTTGATTTAGAAACATTTAAAACAAAGATTCAAGAAAAACAAAAATTCAAACATTTAAAACAAACATTTCAGCAATAAAAAATCAATCAAACTTCTATTCGACCTCCTTTTGCTTGAATGCATTTATGTAGACGACCATCGAGCGTTCGCCGCAGTCATCAAGATCATCCCAAGCTTTGACAAGAGCTGCCTCTTGATTGAGACTATTTATTGAGCTGTGAAATGGAGCACAAGCCTTGCTCTCCAAAACGGCCCACACTGAGTAATCCAGCGGGTTAAGATCCGGGCTGTTTGAAGGCCATTCTTGAGAGGAGACGAAATCGACCAGATTGGTCTCACACCATCGTTGCACAATGCGAGCCGTGTGAGTGGCCGCTCCACCCTGTTGGAAAACGTAAGGATTTGCCCCAAAGTGTGAATTGAGCCACGGAAGATCTTCTTTAATCAAAATATCATTCAGATAAAGATAAGCTTTCAGACAGTGATTAGTAAGCGGTCAATAATTATCACGCACCCTGTACATGTGGAGTTAAGCTATCTTTTTGAAAAGTGTAAGCGAATTTGAGGAAAATAACTTGGATTCAGTTAAACTTCACTTGCATATGACTTACAATTAAAGTAGGTAACTCAAGAGTTATCACAAATTGAGTTGGAAATCGTGTTTGGGCTTGATTGAGCACCCTTTTTTCAGTGTTCGGCGTTTTCATCGTTATCAGCGAGTGTATCAAATTCGCTAACGATATCGACGACAAGAATTCCTGTACACCAAAATTGTACATGAAAAATCATATCAAATCATATTAAGAGGCATTTTAGGGAAAAATTGCGGCTCGGCTCGCAGATATTCTTCGCGATCTCGAATCTTTTCTATGTTTGGTTCCACACTCAAGTAAGCCCCGAACCAGAATTATAAATGAAAGCTCAAATAAGGGTTGCTAAATTTTATTATTTTTTTTGTTTCCAAGTTTTTTTTACATCAAAATAGCTGCCGAATAAAAAGCCTCAAAGTTTTTCACCTAGATCCCTCTCAATGAACTTGGCGAGTTTCATCAAAGCGTGCACTTTTCTCTTTCAATCTACATTGCCTTTCATGCCGAGTATCGAGAAGTCGTACACATCATGAAGCACATCGATCAATCGTTTCTTTTAACTTTTTCTAAAAATTATTTAGCCCTTTCCAGGCACAACATCGCATTGTCGGGCGAGAATTTCCTCGAGAATCTCACCGTTTTTTTGTCGGTCCTTTGATCTTTTTAGCAAACAATTACTTTTAGCTACGCTCTGAACTTTGAGTTTCATGTGCTTCTAGCCAGTTACGCGTACTTACTATTTCGACAGAATTCGTTGACTTCGACTTCAGCAAAAGATTTATCGGCTGCTTCAACGATCGCCGAAGTACAAGTGGATCGAGCGGCAATATCAACAACAATCGACACTAGCAATACGGAACATGTTAAACCACCTCTTCCTCCGCCACCGACATTTCAAGAGCAGTTGACGTTGATCAAAGAGCGGTGCTGGCAAGCATTTCAAGTGCTTTGTCAAAAAGTGTGTCAATTTCGAGAAATAACCGTCCAGGAAATTCGCCTACTGATTATATGTCTCTTTGGCAAGTCTCAACTACGTGTGTTTAAATTCGAAATGTTTCCAGAGGCAGCCCTGCTTGTAGCAGCCGCCATCTGGTACCTCGAATCTAAAGAAAAAGCTGCAAATTTTTGGAAAGTTCGACACCAAGAAGCAACACAAAGCTCATAAATATTTAGCTTGATCTAATTGGGTGGATATTCATTTTGTTGCTCATAGCGATGCTTATTCTCTCAGTTCTGTTAATCACCTGCAAGTGCGAATTCGAGATTTGTGATGATGAGGTAATTTTTGAAAGAAATTTATTTCCACTTACAAAGTTTCAATTTTACATAAAGAAATCTAGAGAAATTTAGACTGACAAACACGAGTGTAAAGTGCTCGTTTTCGCCACCGTTGGATTAACTCTGTACAACTTTTGTAAGAGAAAAAACGGTGTCCTTAAGTTTTTTTTATCAAATGATCATCATCATCATATTATACATTATGTTTAGCTGCAAAATAAAGCTAAACATAGACTCACAAAAACATAGACCTGTCAGTTTTTAACAAATTGAGCATGACTCTCGTGACTCTCAATTTTAAAAAAGTTAGCACGACGAGACAGCCACAATTTCAGAACCCACCTTCTTTTGCGGAGAGTGAAGCTAGAGACGTGAAACTTTTCTCAAGTTTTTAAAACTTATCTTACAAAAAATGTTAGCCTGCTTTAAATTCTGACCAGTGAGCTTATTTTGTTTTTTTTCCTAACTAGTTTGATGATCAAAAGGATCTCTGGGACACCTTGTAATTGAAAATGTTTAAAAGAATAACCCTAAGTTCAGGTGGCATTTTTGTGGCCCTACAAACAATTACCCAATACGATGAGATCAAAAGCAAGCGCACTTTGACAGAGTGTTGGATCGCGTTGGTAGTGCCAGTCATCAGCTGTTTTGAGACGACTTTCCAAACGATTCTCATGACCAGATGCAATCTTCACCACGTGGGGTGGGGAAAACAAGTTTGGGAAGAAAAAAAAAGTCAATCCCCACATTTCAGATAGCTATGTACTTGCTATTTGTGCTCAATGGATTAGCTGTGATCAATAACATGATGGAAATGCTGGAGGCTGGGATTCACTCGACTCTTGTCACTCGAATTGTCAACCGAAATTTTCTTATTTTCGCGCGAGCTCTGAGCAGTTTTGGACTTTTTTACAGGTTAATTACTTTAATTACTTTCTACTTAAGTTCTTTTTCTAGACTGGCATCGTTTTTCCGTTTTGGGCATTTTATCAAAAACTTCACGAGTGAGAAACCTCACGTGGCATCCGAGAGTGAAGGCCTTCTCAATCCTGAACACCAACAACACCAAGATGACTAAACAATAAAGCAAAAAAATGTTTAACAGAGAATAAATCTGTACACAAAACTTTGTTCTTTTCTTAAATATTAAATTTTCACGAATTTTCCTTTTCTTTTTCTCATAATGAGCCAAGTACACTTAAAATCAATTTTTTTCATTACAGATTGTATCTTTTTGAAAAAATCAACATTTATTTATGACACTTGTGCTGTTTTTTGGGTTGACAGGCTTCCATTGCAACTCTTCCTTCCACCAATTTTCAGCCTCGATTCCCTTGAATCGCCGATGAAATGTCTCAGCCAAACGATCACTTTGCTCTTTACTGAAAATTGAAAGTGTAATAAAGGGTAGCAAAGAAAGCACTGAAACTTGTGAATTTGAAACTCAAATTGAATGGTTAATGGTTAACAAAGAACATTGTTATCCAATAGGCGCATTGTTGAGGGATTAGCCAGTATCTAAAACACGTTTAGAAGGAGCATTTTGTATCGATGTTTCTATATGAGAATGAGTAATTTGTGATTGTGAATGCCGTTGGGATTAATGTGAGTGCATCAAAGTTTAAGCTGGTTGTGGAAAAATATGAGTTGACACGTGAAAATGGAGAACTTTTTCGAGGTGAGACATTGTAAATCGGGTATAACGAGAAATAGAGTATTCTTCTAGTGGAAACACGAGTGATTGAAGTTGTATATTGTTCTGAATTGATCTGAATGTTAGTTGGCTTTGATTTCGAAAGTCCCAAAAATAACGCTTAATAACGCATTTTCTGAGTAGTTGAATTGAAGAATCCGGAACTTTTGGGAGAAGCAAATGCAAAACTTAAGTTGAATATTTTGTGATTAGATTGAGTATTATTTACTTGATACCAGCAGAACATCGCGCCTAACGGCGGGTTGCTTTCGAAATTCTAAAAATAATTGGCAGAAACGAATTCCCTGTGTTGGAAAACCCCGCCATGCAAATTTCAGTGTAAAATAAAAATTGCACCCATGGGGCAGTGGCTAGCGTGCTCGCCTCACGCCTCACGTGACCCGGGTCCGACCCCGGCCAGTGACCACCTACTTTGACTTTTTGCAAAAATTTTGTTAAAAGGCACAACTACATGGAATTTCATTAGAAACGTGTTTCAGCGTTTTTGAAAATACTCAAAGAGGACGCGCGTAGTGCGAGACAGAAAAAAATTATTTTTTATATAGTAGAGATGCCTAAATTCTTGATTATATTTCGAAAATTAGTTTTTGACAATTCCCTTTTGACAATACGGCTAAAATGAAACTTGTTTTTTTTACTTGTTGAAGCGAGGAAATTTGGAATTTACGAGGACGAGTACTTTGAAACATCCTTTTCACGGATACATTTTTTGGATTTCAGCTTTTTCAGCATTAAAGTACCAAGCATTTCCACGGAACAATTACCAGAAATGATTCTCTCAATTCAAACGGCTCTGATTGATAATTCATGAACAATAAGTCAAAAAATGAAAAATTATCTTTGCTGAAACCAGCGAAGATTCTTTTTTCCTCTTTTCTATTGTTCTTTTTTTGAGATCTTTGTTTCATCTTTGAAAGAGAATTTGCGTATTTGAATCTCGTAGATATCTGATTTGAATCTAATGTTCGTTTTGATGTTCATTTGTTAAAATTAAATTGAAAATCAAAATTTTAAACTTTTAATCACTAAAGAAGCTTAAATTTTGATTAATCTTACAAAAATAGAGTGTGCGTACTAAAGTTTAAAAAAAATAGCGTTTAGACTATGGATATAGTATATTACCTTTCTTTTATTCAATTGAATCTCTTCAAATCCTAGATCCGAAAATCCTTAGAGTACAGTAACTGCAGAAAAAACGATATTTTGACAAACTATTTTCTTATGTGTCACTTTTTTTGATACTTTATTTCATTTCCTAACATGATTGTTTAGGAAAATGGACTCCCCATGGGGTCAGCTCATCTCCGCTTTCGGTTTCACGATGAATTTGGTGGCAAGTGAGTAGGAAGCTAGGAAATCTTTCTGATTCACTCTTCACTTTTTGAAACATTTCCTTTTCAGCAGTTTTGAATGGACTCGGCATTTGGTGCATTTTCGGTTCCACTCCGAACAGCATGCGCAATTATTCGAGTGAGTTCGGAAAAAGAAAGGAATCTTTGCCACAGAAAATTATTAATATTTTCGCTAGCTACTGTGTTTGTGATCAATTTTACAAAAACAAATCAAAAGTTTGCAAGTGATTTGTTTGAAAAAGTGAGTTTCACTTTTTTGCATCTAAAGTCATGCTGGTTGGAAACAATCCAGCCGATTCTGGCTCTTATAATTCGAAGATTTTAGTGTCTTTCTTTTGCCATGTTTCTGGTTAATTAATTGATGTTATTTTGACAAAACTAAAGACAAAAGTTAAAACGACAGAAGTTTAAGGGTAAACTTTTTGTTCAAAAAAGCTAGTTTCGCTTTTTTCCGTCTGAAGATGTACTGGTTGAGAAGAATCTTCGTGTTTGTGTTTTCTTGAATAAAAAAATCAATTAGCATGTAAAAATTAAACTTAATCTAAAAACAAAAGTCTGGTTATTATCGAAAATCCGGGTCTTCATCGTCACTTTACACAGTGAATTTCCTTTTGTTCTTCATTCCCAAATGAGATTTAGCGTTAAAAATTTGTGCCCCGGGGTTTACAGGGTCGTAGAACCAATTGGCGGAGTTTATTTTGATCCTTTGTCTCAAGAAAAGGCCCAAGAGAATCGAGCTGGCTTTGGGTTTTGCATATGATAGCTTTTCACATTGAAAAGATCCGGATTTTCGAGAAGAACTAAAATAAAAGCCTGAAAAAACCTTCTAGTTTTGTTACTCCAAACGACGGTGGCCGACTTCTTGGCGAGTGGGGGAGCGGTTTACTCGAACGTTCGGTGAGTGGGGAAATGTTTGAAAAAATGAAAAATGAAAATGGAAAACGGATAGAATTCTTTGCCGATTTTATTGATCAAAAGCCGTGCTTGATTTAGACAATAGTAAAATTTTAAGTCACAATTAATCAGGTTAAATTGATAACGACTGAATAAAGAGCCCATTAAAGCCTTTTTCTGTGCTTCTAAACTCACAATTTTGAAACAAAAGTTTTTGGGTATTTTAAAATTTTAAATTCGCTTTGAACTTTCTTAGTCGAAATTACTTTTTTTCGGTCTTATACGAATTAAAATCCATATCAATATGGGACATTAAAATCTTACTAACTTTAGTTATATAAAATTCATGAGGAAAATCAATGATTAAAGTCTTTTTTCATGCTTTGAAGATAACTATCTTGAAACAACAAGTTTTTGAGTCATTTTTGGAATTAACTTTTAACAAGTTTATCGAAATTGGTAAACAAAATAGTAACAGGAAAAGGATTTGAAATAAAATCTTTGTTTCCGAATTAAAAAGCTTGCCCAAGCTCTCAAGGCTTTTAACTTGGAACAGAGCTTAATTTCAGTTGAAGCTTTAACTGGCATACTTTTCATTAAGTGATAAACGTCTTCTAAATACAATTTTCAACACTCTTTCCATTTTGAGTTTGGTTGCGGAAGGCGGGAAAAGGTTGGGAGCGATTATCATCCCGGAGGGTCCATGCAAATATCAGCTGTCGTCGAGATCTTGTCAAATTGGATACTGTATGATGCTGGGTGAGTTTAAAAAGTTGGACACTTCAATTTCAGAGCATATTTATAGTATGACAGTATTACAGAACCAAAAAAAAGAGTCCGAAAAATGACTTGATCGATTTTTTTGTACATCATGTTTTGAATGCTCTAAAGTGAACACTTTTGGGATGAATTAACTTATCAAATTGCCGTAATCACTTTGGAAGGTCATGCCTCTATTTTTCAATTTCTTTATTTTTTGATTTATATGAATGCAAAAGATATCGTTACTGAATATCCGTACTTTTGAATCTGGTGAAACGAGAGATTTTAAGAGCAATAAGGTTTTTATGAGCTTTAATTATGAAATCAGCTTTATCAAAGAGAAAATAAATCAAAAGCCAGAAAAACCGTGTTTCAAACTGAAGCCGGTTTAACTGGACGCATTGAAGGTAATAGATTTTCTTTTTTCTTCACTGCTCTAATCAAATGCAGGCTCAAATCTGCACTCGCTCCTTTCACTTCCGATGTCATTCTTCTATCGCTGGTGGGTGATTTCCCATCCGGCACCTAAAAAGTACAAGATATTCTTGGCGCTGTTGGCCACGGCCCCAATGACGCTCGTTGAACAGGTTTGGATAAAAAAAAGCATGAAAAACGATTTTAAAAATTAGCTCCTAACCAGAAAAAAAACCCGTTTAACTTATTTTGGAACTCAATGTTTCAAGCTGCTTAAAGTGGATGAGAAAATTGTAATTTTGCTCGAATAGCAATGAATAGCAACCTTTTTCGGCATTTGTGACTATTTTGTCAGCATTTTGGCTAAGGGATTAGCGTTTAGCTGCTAGGACATATGCGATCCTGGTAAAATAGTCATGAGTACTAGATATTCTATCATTTTTTCCTTTAGCAGCTCAGGCTTAAAATTTATAATTTATAATTAGTTATTTTATATCTGGTATTAAATGCAAAAGTTTAAATGATAATCGTTTAAACAAAAAAAGTAAAGAAGAGCTGTTTGTAAGACTCAGTTTCAAGTTTGACGACTCGAAACCGACTGCTTTGCACCCAATAACGTGAATGATGGAAAAATGGTTTTTAGAAAATGTAAAAAAAGCTTTATCCTTTGGAAGATTTCAAATTTATTAACCTTTTCTTCAGTTCACTTGCAATATCGCTTTCGAGGGATCGCTGAGTGATGGGAATAAAATGTACGAAAAACGGTTTAATGCAAGTGTCGAGTATCCGTCATCACAAGTCCTTTTCGTCACGCACACCATTTTGGTGAGTTTTAGAGAAAAAAAGATTCGATTTAAGGAAAAAAGACAAAACTCGAGTTGTGATTTTTGAAGTTTCAAGTTTTTTGAGTACTAGTCAATGAAAATCGTTTTAGTCGTGACCGCTAAACATTTTATTTTCTAGCGTTACCCAATCATGCACACAATCGTTTACATGGCCATCATTTCTCCGATCGTTTATTATTTGGTCTACTATTTTCGGTGAATTAATGAAAAATTATGTTTTTCGAGATGAAAGATTCAGTGCAAAGATTAACAAAGCTCTGAATTTGTTGACGATTTCCGAGGCGACGAAACGGCAACACCGAAAATTGGTCAAGGTTTGGAAAAATGGGGAAATTTTGTGCGGTGTTTGATGTTTTTTGTTTTTTTCAGTCACTCCTTTAACAGTAATTTTCGTCAATGATGAGGCTTTAAAAGCATGAATCCAACAAAAAAAACCCCACCGCAAAGTCATCTAATTAGTTATATAAAACAAATTACAAGCTAAGGCCGGCTAAACAAATCGCCTGTCTCATTAATAACGAGAAAGTTGGCTACGAAGCAGAAATCGGAAATCAAAACCATCAAAAATCTTCAAAACTTCTTATAGGTTGAAATTTTTAAGTATTTTTTTCAAATAGACTTTCGACAATGTGTGGAAGTGCTTTGGTTTTATTTGAAAATTTAGCATAAAGATGTACAAAGCTGAATTTTGTAAACCAAGCTTCAACTTAAGCGGGCTTTAACCCCGTTAGCTTAATGCTTCCTCAAGAAAGTCAGCGATCAATTGTAAACCAAATAAAATGTTTTAAGGAATTAAAATCTAAATTTTCTTTTACAGATGTTAGTCTTACAAGCGATTGTCCCCGTGGCTGCTGCCGGCACTCTTCCCCTCTTTTTCCTCTCACAACAAGGCGTTGTCACCGATCCAATTTGGCAAGTGAGTGAGAAGAGAACCTCGGAGAACCATAGTTATATTTAAAAATGCAGACTGTAATGTCAATAAAAAAAAAGATTGTCGATAATGTTAGTTATCGTAAAGCCTTTATGTTCTCTGTTTGAATTTTTCTGAAAAAATTTTCTTTTTCAAAATACTTGACTTGAGAGTAACTTCTATAGTTCAATGACTGGTTTTTTTTAGATATTTATAAGTAACTTAATTAATATTAAAAAGTTATCTAAAGGTTGATGGTAGCTGTCTAAAAGCACTACTTCAGACATCATGTCTTTAAAAGTTTATGTTTCAAAAAGTCCAATTCCAAAACCGATTGGCCGATTCGTAGTCGTGCTGAGGGCCCTAAGTGCTTCGATTCGGGACTTTGCGTCAAATTCTTTGCACAACCCGTCATAACTTTCCTCTAAGTCGGCTAATCTTTATGATTTTGATGTCATTTTGTTGCACTTATTGAGATCTACAAAATAACATCAAAAGCATAAAGATTGGCTGACTTAGAAGAAAGTTACGGCGAGTTGCGCAAAAAATTTGACACCAAAAGAAGTAGCCACCATTTTGACTTCTTTTCCAAAAAACTAGCCATTAGTTGACGGTTTTCATGGTTGAATCGCTCAAATTTGACAGAAGTGCGCTAAAATTTGGAATTATTTCACTCTAAATTTGAACATATTGTAATTCACGGTCATCGTAGTCATGGGAATCTATTGGCACGTTGAATTTTTTTCTTCAGTTTCCCTGTTTCCTTCCACTGAACACCGTCTCTCTTCTTCAGCCGATCATCATGCTGTGGGCGGTGGAACCATATAGGAAAGCGACTATCGGAATGTTTTGGTTCGTTCAAAAGGATTCAAAAGGATCAAAAGGATTTCGATTGGATAGGAAATAAAACTCAAAAATGGTTTTGGTTGTGAAAATTTGTTTTTTTCGATTGATTAAATTTTCCCCGATTTCATACACCTCAAGATGAAACTCAAGTATTTCCATTTGAGTTTCACATTTCGGAAACGATTCAAAATCCGGTGAATTGCTCTTACTCAATTCCATCTTTTCCAAGATGAAACTCGAATCTTTCCATTCTTTTCGGAAAGCTTCAAATAGCTTTTGAAAAGTACAATTTTATTTCAAATAAAAATCGAATCCACTTTCATTTTCAGGAAACCGATCAAGTATCGAGCGAGAACGAAAAATTCGACGATCGTTCACTCGACCATCGCGATTTTACAATGAATGATTTTGATCCATAATTCCAAGATTACAGCACTTCTTATTAAAAGTGAGTAAAAGTGTGAAAAAGGTTACATTTTCAACCCAGATACAATTTTTATAATCAAAAGAAGTCGAACATCAAGCATTAAAAGCAATTCACACAACAAAATGCTTTCAAAATCGAAACATTAACATTTGAACTAAAGATTTTCAAGCAAAACTTTAAAGTTTGGAAAATACGACAACCTTGCAATATTACTTTGAGAAACATGAAAATAGTGCTCTCAAGCTTAAAACATGCCTATTTTCAAATGACTTTATTGAAGCTTTTGCTTTTAAATCAAAGCTTAACAACAGCGTTGAATGGAAACTAAACTCTTAAATACAAAACCGAAATGAAAAAGATGATGCGCAAATTTTAAATGTCAAGGAATTTATAGGGATTAATGGAAGCATTCATTTTGGTGATAGCAGAATGAGTTTATTTCAATTGAAACATGCACTCCTTTCTTCCTATTTTGCTTCAACATTGACCGTAAATTCGTGTGGCAATGAATATAATGATAATACTACTAAAAAATTGCGTATAACAATACCATTATGTGCTTCAGGGAAAATTTTGTGCCATTAAATTTGAAACAAAGTTTTCACCAACGCACAAGAGAATTGCTGGACTTATCGCAAGATTCGGGTTGTGAATGCTAGGAATTCTCGCAAAAATTTGAAGAAAAAGCAACGTTTTGAAAGAAAAGGGCTACCCAGTAAGAAACTGATCTAAAAAGTTTTGATTTCGGGGAGGGGGCAAACTTTGTAAAAATAATAGGCATTTTGTAAATGTCATGCGTTCATGAGCTCATTTGGAAAGTTCGCTCGTTGTGAAAGTTCATGCGTTCATGCGTGACCGTTCATGCGTCGATCCGTTCTTTAGTAAAGTTCATGTTTATGGGAGAATTTGCGAGAATGAAATGTCGCAGAAGACCAAAGAAACTTCTAAGACTTCTAGCAGACTTCGTCAAATGATACGCGTTTGATATCAATCGAAAGGTTAACTAATTCTCTACAAAATGACATTTAAAAAAGAACTTTTAGGGTCTGTTGAAACTGGCTTTTCATTGTTGCTTTTCATCCAACTGCCAAAAAAGGCCACACATAAAACGATAGAATTCAAATAAAAATTATTAGAGCAAAGGTTTCGCCATCTAGCAACATTAAGGAACAGTTTTGTTTAGTTTCCTTATTTTCTGGCAAAATAATTAGCGAACCCTACCATAAACCGTTTCAATTCCTTCAATGTTGATATTTAAATTGTCTGTATTTTGTAGTAAAATACAGGTAAATTTAAGGCAAAGATTGATCCCAGAAATTTGAGCATAGTGGCGCCCAACCAAGCGGAAGCCGACGGTGACGCGCTCACCGGTCCTTCGTCCTTTACAGATTTCAAAAGGGAAGCCACATTTGAAAGTAAATTTGTTAATTTTTTTTCTCTTGTTTGTTTAATTAAGGGAATGCGAAGAAAACAATCAAAACAGGGTCTTCCATCAAAACCGAACGAAAGAGCTGCGGGTCAAACCTCTGTGACTCCACCAGACGAAACACATCTTGCGGCCGGAAGCGAGTGAAAGCTTTTCTCCTTATATCTATCACCACTATGTTATTCTTTCGCTTTCAGTTTTGGCATTGGCGATGCAAATGCGGATGAACTACTCAAAATCCACAACCATGGATTCGAGTCGTGTCCACATATGTTGTGTAAAGAAGAACTTTTAGGGTCTGCTGAAACTGGCTTTTCATTGTTGCTTTTTATCTAACTGCCAAAAAAGGCGACACATAAAACGATAGAATTCAAATAAAAATTATTAGAGCAAAGGTTTCGCCATCTAGCAACTGGCAAAGATTTTAGAGAGTGTGTAAGTCTCAAGGAATAGTGTGAATTGGAAACCGGACTACGGTAGAAGTTGGTTGACTAACTTGAAATACAATACAAACCATCGTACTTTCTACCGTGGTCCTTTTTTCTATTTCACACTATTTTTGAGAAAAAGACTGAAGTTACACAGTAATTTTGTTAATGCTTACAATTAGCAAAAATCTTGCTAGATTTTACTGTCAGCCATTGATTGGCTAGAAAAATTAGCTGGTATTTAAATGGTGTCTTTTTATGAACAATATTTCGACCACAGCTTCTCGAACACCATCCTTATTTAGGCACAAAAAGATCAAAAGGATGTAGCTGGCAAACAAAGTTCACGAATTGTGCTTCGGCAACGAATTTTGTAAGTTGCTAGAATGGCAAAGCTGGGCCCGCGTTTAATAAAAGAAAACTAAATAGATGTCTAAACGCACCGCACTGAAAAGAAGGCTTTTGGACTCTTGAATTTTCTTGGGGTTAATAGCTTCCCACACTCATCAAGGATTCGTAGATAAGGTCTGGCGTTTTCAGTAGATTTTCAAAATCTTTCAATCTTTCAAAATCTAGAATTCTTGAAGTCTTGAATGCAACTTTTTTTTAAAGAAAAATGCAAACTCTTGAAGGAATGGTCTATCCAGTAACAAACTGCTTCAAAAAAAGTTTTGATTTTGACGGAGGGCAAACTTTTTAAAAATGAATTTGTTGCCCCCCCTAGCTACGGGCCTGGGCACTATCTCAGCTACATTGGATTAAGACCAATAGCGACATTAATGCTTTTGAACGGGATAAAATTAAGTCATAAATTTTGGCTTAGGCTTAGGCTTAGGCTTAGGCTTAGGCTTAGGCTTAGGCTTAGGCTTAGGCTTAGGCTTAGGCTTAGGCTTAGGCTTGGGCAGGCTTGGGCTTGGGCCAGGCTTAGGCTTAGGCTTAGGCTTAGGCTTAGGGCTTAGGCTTGGGCTTAGGCTTAGGCTTAGGCTTAGGCTTAGGCTTAGGCTTAGGCTTAGGCTTAGGCTTAGGCTTGCAGGCAAGTACTTCTCATTCCATTGTATTCTTTTCCAGGTGGCCAAATCAGATCGTGCCGGCGTTGGGACCGATGACGTGTGATCCAGAAGGCAGGTGAACACTTTTTCGCGCCTTATTTATTCTTTTTTGTTTTTTACAGGTCCGTGACCAGGCTTTCAAGGTCGATAAAGGGGTTTTTGGAGAAGTTGGAGAAAGCCAGCGGGAATCCGGAGATCATCCCCGAGGTGGAAGCACAAGGTTGGTTATTTTTGAAAAGTTATCATAATTTATTTCTAGGTGAGAAGCCGGTGGCCGGGGTTTCACTCGATTCGGATAAAGGTGAGTTGTTTTTGTTGTCAACTTTAAAAATCGTACTTCTTAATTTCGAGGTTCCACAATGGGCATCGTGGGCGTTAAAGTCGTTGTCTGGGAAATTCTACAAGGTGCCCCGCCACCCACCCTTACCACAACAGGAACGGCGGCAAAAGACGACGATAGTGCGCGAAGGTACCGGGTTTTTTTTGTTGTTTAAAGCCTCTAATGGCTAAAGTATAAGCTCAGCCAAATGTCGAGTCGGGCGCCACGCTGCAAGCGTGCAGGCGCACTGGAAGCCAAAAGTTTTGGAGCCGACGCGAGATGCCGAAGGATGGGAAGCTTTGAGGATGAGGATAGGGTGTGTGATGAAGATTTTTGGCATAACGTCGTAATACCAGTATAAACGTTTGGGATACAATAGTTGGTCTATTTACTTTTAGTTTAAAAATTAGCTATTGTAAATGATTGTTTTAGAAAATGATGACTCGGATATGTACACGGACGCTCGCGAATCGATCAGTCAGCACGGGGAAAAAACAGAATAACGACAACAACAAGAATGGAAATGAGGACAATGATGACGATTGGGGAACTGGGTAAGCACTGCTGCTTTCTTGCACCGTGGATAAGTGGAGTATTTTGCTTTAGATGGGAAAAGAGATGTCGAGCGGCTTGTCGGGAATCGAGCTCAACAGAGCAACGGTTGGTTGATGTAGAGAAGCCGTTAGAAGCTGAAATCTTTATTTTAGACCACCAGCACCGCTCCGGCACTGAAGAAACCGATAAAGTCGAAGATGACAGCAACAACAACAGCTGGCGGTGGAGGAGGTGGCTTGAAGTTGGGTGGCGGAAGTGGACAAGACAAGATGGAATTGAAGGGGAAAAGTTGGGTGAGTGCTTTGGATGCTTTAGGCAGGACAAGTCTCTGACTTTTAGCTTGAATTACAATTAGCCAGTCCTGGCTGATCAAATTTCGAAACCATTAGTTCAACTCTAAAGAGAAAGTCGACAAAGAAAATAGGCTTTTGCTTTGAATTAAAAAAATTTAGCACGTTCAATGCGTTTTCTTTTGTTTCTTCGCAGCCTATACAGGGTTTCCTTCTTCATTTGGGCACCTTTCATTGGGACAAATTCTTTTAGCGTTCAACTAGCTAGCTTTTAGTTTAGAGCTCTTTTTTTGCTACCCCTTTCATTTGCTTTTCTTTTTAGACAATCAGGATCTCGACTTTTTACTCGGTATCACCAACACGCCGAGGATTTGTCGACGAAAACCGCAGGAAAGAAAGCGACAACCAGCAATACTGCTGCTACTTCTGGTTGGAGGTTTTTCGGTTTCACCCTCAAAATTGCTTGTCCTTTAGTTCTTCTGAGTTTCTTTTGATTTAAGTCTTGCGCTTGAGAAGCTATGATTCTTTTGATACAAAGGGTTTTTAGCCGGTGGTAGCTGGGAAATCGACGACGATCCGATCGGGAACAACGATTTTGATGAGTGGGGGAAGCACTACGGTGATGACAAAGGGTCAGTTTAGTGAAATATAAATTTGAGGTCAATTTTAAGGTTAAAGAATCAAAACAGAACCAAAAACATTCTATTGTCGAGTATGCCATTATTCTTCTTTTTCTTTAGCTCCTCCCAAACTCGCGCCACCGCCAGCCGTTTCTTCGTCAGCTTCTTTGCAAGGTAGAAAGTTTATTTTTGATGTTTTAAAGCAGTGATTCGGATTTTAATTTGTATATGAATACTGTGTTTTTCGTTTTTCAGCAAATCGCGAGGCTCGACGCGCCGAGATTGCCGCAAAAAATGAGGCAAAGCGGAGGGAAATTGCCGAGAAAGAGCACAACAACAAAAGGGAATTGGAGGAGGGAAAGGTGGGCTTTTTTGGAGTTGAATGGATAGGATAATTTGTTATGATGGATGGTATTGACAAGTTGTTTTCAACTCTAGTCACCAGTCATTCAATTTCAATTTTTTATGAGCATAAATTAGGTAAAGCTAAAAAAGCTATAAGTGGCTGACAAAATGGGCACACTTAACACCGGAAATCTTATCAAAAGCTTTCGGCTTAACTGATCAAATACAACTTTGACTCTAGTAGGCTAAGGGAAAATTTTGAATGCGTAGCCGGGCTTTGAAGGTCCATAACTTTGTTTAGAGAGAAAAACTATCGTCAGCTTTATAGAGGATACTTTAGGCTTTTGAATGAGACAAAATAGAGCTTGATTTTGATTATGATTGAATTGCATTTAGGTTCCAACGAAAACACCGCCAGCCGCTAACAATGCTGCCACTGATGGCTGGGAGGATTTCTAGAGGGAATGATGTGCGGGTGATGATGAAGATGATGATGATGATTTCCTTCCTTCTTCTGTATCGTTCTATTTATTCTGTTTCTTGTCATTTTAATTCCTACGTCATTATCATTTGGCTGTGTTCTTTCCGTTTTCTGCCTAAAAGATGCGCTTCTTTTTCGGGGGAAAGCTACCGTAATCCTGACTGATATCCGATATCGGAAAGCTACCGTAATCCTGAGTGATATCCGATATCGGAAAGCTACCGTAATCCTGACCGATATCCTTTTTAAGCTTCACCAATTTACGAATAAGTAGTCTAAAATGTGAATTACATATTTCATTCTAAAACAGTCGATAATTCTCATTTCACTTCATTTTTCCCCTTTTTCTATGTGCCTTTTTTCTTTTTCGGGACTTTCCGGGATTCTCCTGCTTTTAGTGTGGTGTTTAATTGCTTTTTGGGCTTTGTTTTAAAATGTGCATAATCTAGAGACCTTTTTTCGAAGATTTATGCCCGATTTAACAGCTTTTCATCTTTTAAGCCATACTTTTTTTTGTTTATTTATTTGTTTTTCCGAGCTGAGAACTGTGATACTTCTTTTTTTGCGTTCTTTTCTTCTTTACTTCTTTTCCTCTTTTCCTCTTTTCCTCTTTTCCTCTTTTCCTTACACACACCAATGCACATTCGTTTGTCTTTTTTTTTCTTTTTATTTCCTACTCTTTAAACGATGATTCTTATTGATATTTATTGAGTGAATTCGCTGTTATTATTTGATGAATAAAGAGATGACTTTGAGTTGATCTATCTTTGGATCGATTCTGCACGATTTTGACTTTCTTTCTTACTTAGATTCAATCAGAAAAATTAGGCAGATTAGGGGAAATCGAAAAAATGCATAAGGAAATCTTGGAAAACCTTGGAAATTTTCAGCTTTGACACGGCAAAATGGGCTCTGGTGTTTGTAGTCTAGTATCAAACCGTCGCTCTTTTTTTTTAGAAACTCTCTCTCCTTGTGGGGAAAAACGGGAGAAGAAATTGATAATGTCTTTCTTTTCTTTTCTTTCATTCGATTGCCTAAACCATTTTCTTTTTGAACTACACACACACTCAAAAATTCTTGTGAAAAGAAATTTTTTTCTTTTTTTTACACATTTACCATTTACCATTTACCTCTAATTTTTTATTGTTATTTTTATTTTTTATTCTTATTTTTAAGCTTATTGTATAAGAGAGATTTTTCTTGAAAATACTCAAAAATGATGAAAATCTGATTTGTGAAGAATTCAGAATGACTGTGTTGAGCAAATTTGTCGCTGGCACACTCGGCATGAAGGTGCTGACGACGAATTGCTACGAGACGTGTCACACATGGGAACCCGATTGCACGAAAGCTATTCAGGTGAATCAACTACATTCAAAGATTCACATAGATCAGCGTTTTTTTTTTTTTGAAAAGCGATTCTTCTGGGACTTTAGCTTTGTACAGACTTCGCGTTGATTTAGCGACTCATTTTATTATTCCTTATCCAGAAAATAGTCTGGCTTTATGGAAAACATGGCTTGAGTCTGTGGAGCTGATCTGAAGCCAATTAGCTTTATCTGAAGCTGATCTGAAGCCTAAGCCGGACTTGATTTAGACTTAGACTTGGGCTTAGGCTTGGCTTAGCTGGCTTAGCTTAGCTTAGCTTAGGCTTAGGCTTAGGCTTAGGCTGGCTTAGGCTGGCTTAGGCTTGGCTTAGGCTTAGGCTTAGGCTGACTTAGGCTTAGGCTGGCTTAGGCTTAGACTGGCTTAGGCTTGGCTTAGGCTGGCTTAGGCTTAGGCTTGGCTTAGGCTTAGGCTTGGCTTAGGCTTAGACTTAGGCTTAGCTTTAGCTCAGGCTTAGGAACTATGCTCCAAGTCTGTCCTAAAACAGTCAACTCTAAAACAATGTCATCTCGAAATTTTAGGCAGCCGTCCCTGAGGCGCTTCTCTTCAGCCTGCGAACGTATGCGATTTTTTATGCGGTGAGCTTTTTATTGAGAATTATCTATTTTTAAGTACTTTATACTCAAAAACGTCTAAACACACCCTTTCTGGGATACTCAAAGCGTCTTTGTTGAAATCGGTCCATCATAAGCGGTGTGTTTACAGAAGAGCTTTAACACAGTTGAAACTTGTCAGCTGTAGAGCTTTGAGGTTTCTAAACTTACTTTAAACAGATTCCGGTACGCTAGAAAAGATGTGTTTACGAATGCTCAAAGTCAAGCTCAAAGTTTTCTAGGGTTTTTTTTTCTTCTGAAATCTAGCTTTTAAAAGTTTTAAAAGTGTTCTAATACACTTTTCAGTTGATACTGAAGTACACTAGAGGCGATGCGTTTACAGAAAAAGCTCAAAGTACACAAAATCTTTTTGCAGCTAGGCGAACTCGTCTCGACGAAGGGTGATCCAAGGAAAATCCGATGGAAGCGCTTGCTCGCAGCGATTTCTCGTTCATCGCTTTTTTTGACGACGAATTTAGTGATGTATTTGTGGTATATGTGCAGAATTCGGTAAAACGATGTTTTTGAGTTTAATTTAATTTGATTTTTTTCTAGAAATTTGATGGGCTTCTGGACGTGGCCAACATTGGGTTTAACGAACGGACTTCTTTCGTCGTTCACAGCGATTCTGATTGAGAAACCGGCACGGCGACCCGCTTTGGCATTATATTTGACGAATTTGGTTGGTATTTGGAGAAAATTCTAATAAAATTTACGATTTTTGGTCTGCTATAAGTAAAAGTAACTATGTTTTCGAAAACTAGGATTTTTAGGATTTTACGTGTAGGATTTTTACATTCACACGCAGTGCATTGAATTAGCTAGTGAAGTTTGCTTTTGATAGCATTGCTTGAGCTTTGAACTTGTAATTGTAAGTGTAAGTGTAATTGTAACGTAATGTAATTGTAACGTAATGTAATTGTAATGTAACTGTAATGTAATTGGAATTGGAATTGGAATTGTAATGTAATTGTAATGTAATTGTAATTGTATTGTAATTGTATTGTAATTGTATTGTAATTGTATTGTAATTGTATTGTAATTGTATTGTAATTGTATTGTAATTGTAATTGTAATAATTACAATGGTAGTAATTTAACTGTAGTAATTGTAATTGTAGTAATTGTAATTGTAGTAATTGTAATTGTAGTCCTCCTCATTAAACGATAGAAAAGTTGAGCGAATTGAGTGAAATCGAAAAGTTTAACTACAATAGTTTTCTTGAATAGATGTTTTTCTTTTAGAAAATGGATTACTTGAGAGGATCTTGAGACTGATAAACTCTCGATAAAGCCTTATTGAGATCTTGATAATCTTAGAAAAAGAATTCTAATTAACAGTTTTAAAAATGCGATTGTTTACTGTTAGCTGTTACTTTTCGCTTTTTCACTTTTTTTTAGATTATTGTAGGTTTTTATGATAAAAGTTTACTAAAAAATGACGAAATTACGAAATTTTCATTTTCAGGCCTCCGAAACAGCCTATCGACAAGCGGTCAGCCATGGGTATTTACGTTTCATCCCGAAAGGACAATGGATTGTGAGTGTCGATTTAAAATGTTGTCTGTTGTTCAATTGTCTAAGTGAGATTGTCAATTGGTAAACGAGATTTGCTCACTATCAACAGGTGTTTTTATCAACAGGATTTGCCCTACTTTTTTAGGGTTTTTTTTAGGCATGAGGCTTCAATGGTTGGCTACTTTTTTTTAGGGTTTTTTTTAAGCCAAAAGATAACACTTGAAAAATGCTATCTTTACTCCAGAAATCCAGAAAAATTAATCGTTAAAGTGCGCCGACAAAACTCGTGTTTTCTTGTTGACAATCGAACTGACAAATGACAGCACTCGTTTACTGAAGTGCTCGAAATGAGAGACGATCATTTCTAGGCTGGCTTCTAGGCTGGCTACTGTATTTGTAATGTGGCTACCGTATTCATCTGGTTACTGTAGAGAAATCTGAGAATTTTCGGCGTAAACGTCAATAGGTATTCAAAAGAAAAATGTGATATCTTGGCGAATTTCACTTTGATCTTTTTCCTTTTGGTATCAATTGATGCAGAATTTCATTTTCTATTGATTGAAAACAAAGATAGAGTGAAATTTTAGTGAAAATATAGCCTTTTTTTTGCGTTGGAAACCTATTGACGTTTACACTGGGAAATTCTTAGTGTATACCTTCTCCTATACCTTCTCAGAGCTACTGTAGAGGTTTGAAAGGAAATACCGTAATCTGGAATCTAGAATGATCGGATTTTCTTCGATTTCTTGGATTTTCTCTTTAAAAACGAATTGATTCATTTAGGTTTTCTCGCTTGGCCTCGGGCTGTATTATTGGTTGAAAGGCGAGGGAAGACTCGAGGCGTCTGGTGGTGGAGGGCTTTTAGAGTAAGTTTAAGAGAGTAAGTTTAGCGTAAGTTTAAGAGAGTAAGTTTAGAGTAAGTTTAGCGTTCTTTCTTTGGCTTTACCTTAGGAGAAATGTAAACAAAAAAAAACTGTAAACGCACCCCATCTGGCACACAAAACACTCGAATCTTTTTTTTGATTTCGCAAATTGAGCACTTATAGCTTTGGGTATTCTTTGTGCTCTTCGAAAATTGTAAAAACGCGCGATCTGGCGCACACAGCACTCAAATATTCGTGAGATTTGACTCAAGAAAGCTGGAGAAAACTGAGTGTGCCAGAAAAGCTGTGTTTTCAATTTTAAGAGCACAGAGTACGAGAGATGACTTCCAAAAGAGTTGGGTGATTGATCCAAATTGATCGAAATTGATCGAAATTGATCGAAATTGACCCAAATTGATCCAAATTGATCAAAATTGATCAAAATTGATCGAAATGGATTCAAATTGATCCAAATTGATCAGAAATTGATCAAAATTGATCGAAATTGATCGGAAATTGATCGAAATTAATCAAAATTGATCGAAATTGATCGAAATTGATCCAGATTGATCCAGATTGATCAAAATTGATCAGAAATCATTTTCAGAAAGATCCA